TGCGCCCTGGGGCGGGCCCCAGGCTACGCGCCAGCAGCTGTAGCTGGGCTGTGCATGCGCCGTGCGCCTGGGGGCAGCCTGGGGTGCCAGAATACCTCAGGCCAGCGCTGCCAGCAGTGCGGAGACCGAGTCACAGACACTGGAACGGGGAGGGACCTCGAGGGTCATCAAGTCCAGCCCCCTGCCCTCACGGCAGGACCCAGCACCGTCTAGACCACCCTGGCAGGCCTGTGTCCAGCCTGCTCTGAAATATCTCCAGGGATGGGGATTCCACAACCTCCTTCGGTGACTTATCCCAGTGTTTGACCACCCTGACAGGCGGGAAGGTTTTCCTAATGTCCAACCCAAACCTCCCTGGCTGCACTTTAAGCCTCTTGCTTCTCGTCCTGTCCTCAGAGGCCAAGGGGAACAATTTTCCTCCCTCCTCCTTGTGACTCCCTTTTAAATACTTAAAAACAGCTCTCATGTCCCACCTCAGTCTTCTCCTTTCCAAACTAAACAAGCCCAGTTCCTTCAGCCTCCCTTCATAGCTCACGTTTTCTAGAACTTTCACCATTCTCGTCGCTCTTCTCTGGACCCTCTCCAATTTCTCCACATCTTCCTTGAAATGTGGTGCTCAAAACTGGACACAAAACTCCAACTAAGGCCTTATCAGTGCGGCCACCTCTGGGGTGGGGCAGCTGGGGAACAGCTGCACATAACGCTGCCCAGGATGGCTCAGCTAGCACTGGGGCGCAGCTACGCAGGGGAACGGCCCACATGGCTCCTTTCTCAGCCTCCCCGTGGGTAAGAGGGAGCATTTCCTGCCTTAAGTAGCAGGGCTATTTTAAAGAGCAGGTGGGGGCTGATGTTGGCATGTCCCTTTGCTTTTCTGTGAGCTTCCCTTTCTGGGTTTCTGGTTCACTTTTGTTGGGGGCGCTGTGCTGCAAAGACAGGGATCCAGCAAGGGGCGCTCTCCCCTGGCAGGCAGGGCTGGCCCAGTGCCCCAGGGCGATACTAGGGGGCGTTGTGGGGCAGGGAGATGGGCAGGGCCCAGCAGGGGGCGCTCTCCCCTAGCAGGCAGGGCTGGCCCGGTGCCCCAGGGCGATACTAGGGGGCGCTATGGTGCAGGGAGCAGGGCAGGGCCCGCGCTGTGGGGCAGGGAGCAGGGCAGGGCCCAGCAGGAGGCGCTCTCCCCTGGCAGGTGGGCTGGCACAGTGCACCAGGGCGATACTAGGGGGCGCTGTGGGGCAGGGAGCAGGGCAGGGCCCAGCAGGGGGCGCTCTCCCCTGGCACACAGGGCTGGTCCGGTGCCCTAGGGCGATACTAGGGGGCGCTGTGGGGCAGGGAGCAGAGCAGGGCCCAGAGCAGGGCCTAGCAGGGGGTGCTCTCCTCTAGCAGGCAGGCCTGGCCTTGCTGTGGCATCTCTCAGAGACACATTAGTGCTGAATTTTTACACTGTATTAGCACCTTAACTCTCGGGGGTTCCGTGGTACCAAGCACTGCCCAGCCCCACGATAGGAACCAGTCCCCATCCAGAAAGGCTCGCAGCCCAACCAAAGCCAGGAACATTCTCCCCCTTTTACCAGTGGGGAAACTGAGGCTCATGGCTCACCCAGGACTTGGGCAAAGTCTCAGGAATTCTGTGGCAGAGCCCTGGAGTCCTGACCTGCGCTGTCAGGCCAGCTTGGTTCCCATCTAACTTTCCCAGGCCTTATCGAGGGATCGCCTCCTGCTTCCCTGACACAGGATAAATGATACAACCCCTCTTCCCGTCTCTTTCCAAGCAGCCCAACTAGCCAAGGTCTGTGCTCAGGAAATGACTGAATGCTTCATGACAGTCAACTTTCCCTCCAGGGCAGGGGAGAGATCCCAGGAGTCCTGGCTCCCAATTTCCCCTGCTGTAACCACTAGGCCCCACTGCCCTCTCCTACCCAGGACCGGGGTAGAACCTAGCTGTCCGGGCTCCCAGCTCCCTCTCCTCCCCAACCCGCTAACCTAACATGGTGTGGGAAGGCATGTCACAACTACTGTGACAATGCGTTCCCTGTGTGTCAATAATTGCTGAGGTGTGGGGTGCGGGTTGGCAGATCACCAGACTGGCACAGAGTTCAGGCCACTGACCAGGCGAGAGCCACCCCCTCCGGCATTTCAAACCTCACAGCATGCCCCTGGGGCTGCGAGTCGAGACAGAACGGCACCAGCAGGGCTGAGAATGGACGGGTGGAATCTGGCCCTGATAGGCCCATCGGCCCGGTATCCCGTCTAGAGGTGGCTCATGCGTCCCCCTCCCCCCGTACAGCCCAGATCAGCGGCGACACCAAACCAGCAGCTGCACCGCGCCAGGCCCATGCCCCCGAAACAAGGCGGGCGCCCGTCAGGTGTGGGTGCTTGTCAGGTGACCCTGAGACAGGGAGCACGATGCTCCCCAGCCCTGCTTCGGAGGCCGCCCGCACGCAGGGCAAGTCGGCTGGGCGTGGGAACAGGCAGAACACACGGGTCTGGTCCTGCGAGGCCTCTGTTGTCGGGAAAATCACAGCTCAGCTCCCAGGGCAAGCAGCTCCCTGCAGCACAGCGCCCCCCTAGGGGACTGGGCCAGCCCTGCCTGCCAGGGGAGAGCGCCCCCTGCTGAGCCCTGCCCTGCTCCCTGCCCCACAGCGCCCCCTAGTGCCGCCCTGGGGAACTGGGCCAGCCCTGCCTGCCAGGGGAGAGCGCCCCCTGCTGAGCCCTGCCCTGCTCCCTGCCCCACAGCGCCCCCTAGTGCCGCCCTGGGGAACTGGGCCAGCCCTGCCTGCCAGGGGAGAGCGCCCCCTGCTGAGCCCTGCCCTGCTCCCTGCCCCACAGCGCCCCCTAGTGCCACCCTGGGGCATTGCCCCAGCCATGACCACGATGCACTTATTGCCCCTGGTTAGCTCCCCGCCCACAGTAGCTGATTTCCTAGGCTGGTGCCTCCTCGTGCTCCCTCCCCCTTCAGAGGCGAGTGTCCAAGGTGAAGCAGAGATAAGATGCGTGGGTCAGGCCTGGCCGTGAGATTAGAACCGGCTCTGCCCTTGACCCAAGGCCACCGCCCACTGCCATGTATGGCTGTCAGTCCTCCGGGAGAGAGAGAAAAACACCTCTGGCTTTGGGCACCCCTGCTCTAACCACTAGATCCCACGCCCCTTGCAGAGCTGGGACAGAACCCAGGAGTCCTGGCTCCCTACCCCGTCAACCCCCCCCCCTAACCACACCCACCCACCAACCCACTAGACCTCACTCCACTCCCAGCACTGGGGAGAGAACCCAGGAGTCCTGGCTCCCACCCTCCTTCATTCAGACCCATGGGCCCAGCGGGTGCCCCACACCCATGTGCTGCCTGATCCCGGCAGAGGGATGCCCTGAAGCATGGGTGTGACCCCTCCCAGACCCAAGCCCAGCCTGGCTGGCAGGCGATGCTACCTCCGACTGTGCCGGTCCCTCCAGGGCGAGATGCTGCCCAATTCTGGGGGTCCCTGACCCAGCGCAGGGGCCGGCCCAGGGCAAGATGGGTCTGGTGGGGGTGGCTGGGAGGGGGCAGGCTGCGGTGGAAGGGCAGGAAGGGGTTAACAGCAGGGAAGGGAATGGAAAAGCTTCTCCAGTGC